GAGTCAAGGAGGAGGAGGAGGAGGAGGAGATCTCTGGCAATGGGAAAACCCACTGAAGCGCACTCGCGTGTATCCAGGGAACAGGTTAACACGATGGCCAGCAACAGGAGATCTTTCAAGCACCCACAAAACGAAACGAAGATCCACAAAACGTTGACCCAATTTCCAAAACTCTATTCCCATGACAGATGATGAGAACATCTTGAGGAAAATCAAAGAAGCGTAACCAAGATGTTAAAGGCGAATAGGTAGGCATAAATAAGAAACAGTTGTTAGAGGGGGCAAAACTATTCTTCAAAGTGCAAACATTTTCCCTTCGCACATATGTACATAGATAGTTGTAGGTGTAAATATGTACAATTTCATGTTCAAATGTTTACATTCGCTTTATCACCACGAATGCAAGCCGAGTTCAAAATCGTTGAAATGGAAAAACAGGGAATCAAGTATCAGGTTCACAAAATTGTCAGAGGAAAGATCACTGCAGGAGATCTCTACACATACATTTCCACAAAGGTCGGTACATGGTTGTTGCTAGAGTTTTCCACTGAAAACATAAGCAGGTAGCGAGGAAACAAGAAAATCATGAGCAGTGGGAAACTGTAAAGAAAATGCTGCAGCATCATTAGCTGTATGTTTAACGAGGAATGTACCTGTCGAACCCAAGGGATCACCTTTGAATTTCTGTCTTTATAGATTTCCTATACATCTACTTATTTTAAATTTTGTTCGCCTATTCAAATGCTACAGTTTTGACCACTTTAGACAATGATATCGGATGCTGTAATGTAAATATTAAACGGCCAAAAGAACACATTTTACATAAGGCTAAACATTGCATAATCAAGAACCAGGTGAACAAGATCTTGTGAATAACGTTTGCAATACAACATAAAATCTTACAGTGCACACATCTTTACAGTTTCAGGTATATACAAAATAATACAAAATAATATACAAAATAATATGAAGCGTTAAGAAAAACTGAAACCTAGTGAGGTTTTCATAAATAGGAAATGGGTCTATTAAATACCAGATCTGCAGCATTTATTTTATTTGTTCTAGCTTAAAAATGTCTGTAACCTCTCAACTGCTTACCTGACCAAGACTTTCTAACAACTTGCTACATTTTGTGTTAGCCTATTCGAATGCAACATTTTACAGCATCTTACCCCTTTTTACAATCTCAATAAAACGTCATGGTTTATGGTTTACTAAGATTTCCCAACAAATTATCTCTATACGAGCACAGAGAAAGAGTTAAAGGTCACAAAAGTGTAGCATTCGAACAGGACAACAGCTTTGGAAAAGCAGTAACCAGTGAACCCAATTTTCACAGGTAAAAATATATTTTCCAGTACAAAGAAAATATATATATGTATAAGGTAAGTAGCATCCCACAACATTGAGATGAAAATCATTGAAGCGCGGCCTTGTGTATCTAAGGAACAGGAAAACAACTCTGATAGACTATTGCCAGAAAAATATATATTTCTCTAATAAAAGTAATTTTGAGAGTTCTCTGAAGTGTGTCGGAGGCTGTGAAAATTAATAGGTAAACATGTATAAAAAATCGTTGAATTCATCATTTAATTTAATTAATTTTCATTATTTCATTCATTCCTAATAATTACAAAACTAGATATTTGTTCCTTATTTACTTCCAGAGAGTCAGTGAAGCGTGACCAAGATCAAAAAATAAACCAAGTTAACATAAATTTTAGCGAGGATGGAAACGAGGAAAATGAAACTCGGAAAATTAGCTGAAGCATCACCTGCATTCCGGAAAAGTATCTGCAGCATCCCCTGCATCTGCTCTCTATCATCTAGTTCAGTTTTCATTATATCAACCCTTTTTTTTAAGAACTGAATTAGAATTAATAAGAATGAAAATTCCGAAAACCAATGAAGTGAAACCGAAATGGAAAAATCTAACAGGTTGACATAAATTGCCATTGCAAAATGTGCCTGGAAAATTGTTAAAAGGAAAATTACCTGCAGCATCTACAGGTAGATGTATTCTCAACCTGAGGGTTTCCACTTTGAACTGAATCTTTGAGTTTTCGGCATTTTGCTAAATTTGTTGTTTGCCTGTTCAAATGCTACAGTTTACAGCATCCTAACTCTTTCCTTAATTTGTCTATAATGTCTATGATAAGAACCAGTTTTAGAAGAAGTTTTGAAGAACCAGTTTTAGAATATCTAAACATGATTAGAAACATCAATAATTTTCTATTCTTGTTGGAGGAGTGAAAATCAACGAAGCATGAATAATACACGAGAAGAAATCAGGTGAACATAAATTGCAAAAAGAAACCTTTATAGGAAAATGTATTCTGTATTATCGGGACTTTTCCTTTACTTTTCCAGCATCCTTCTATAATTTTTGTAACCCTATTCGAATGCTACAGTTTGCCAGAAGTTACATCAGAAGTTTACATCAAAGAAAAATTACAGATTTCATTTTATGAGAAAAAGATCAATAAAATGAACTAACAATTTAAAAGTAAAAGGTATGCCAATTAAAAAGGCACACTATGCTTATTAAAATAATGACATTTTTAAATAAATTTATGAGTCTGTGAAAAATCTAAAAAAATTCTGCAATTCAAATAAAAACTGAACTATTATGTTTATAGTTAGATGATATGTCAAAAATAATGGCACAACAGAATAGTTTCTTATGTAATTGAATTTATAATTATAATCTTTAAGAAACCCCAATGAAAGAGTTAAAAGTCACATAACTAAAGCATTCGAACAGGCTGGCAGACTCAGCCGCAAGGACACCCAAGTGAAAAACATTTCAAACCAAAATCTAGCTGCAGGCACTGGAGTTGCAGGTAGAAAACAACTCCCTAATAATCGGGAAAATTCTTAAGAATTTTCACGGAAAATCAATGAGCCGTGACCGAGTGGATTAAGCGAACCGGCCAGCATCAAAATCCACTACAAGATCATTGAGAAAATCTATTGGAAGAAATATTGAAGAGGTCAAAGAGCAACTCACTCCTCTGATTAGTTCCGAGAATGGAATCAGTGGAGCGTGACCAACTGGATCAATAGAACAGGTTTGCAGTTCCAAAAACAAGATGAAAAACTAAAGCCCAACAAATATTGAATGGAATATTGAATCTCTAGCAGAGATAATCCTCTCCTGATCCCATTCGCCAGATCACTGAAGCGTAACCAAACCGCCCAGGCTGTCAACATGGTATAGTAGGTGGAAATCGTGCATTTGGAAAACTGAACCCAGCATCCGAAACGAAAGTGCGATCAACCAAATACAGAAACGAACCCGAAAAAAACCTCGCATGCATTTGTTAAATACATATATACATATATATGCATATAACCCAGAGCCCTCGTCGGATGCAGTTGGATGCACTGGGATTTACTCGGATGCAGGCGTCAGTTGCTGCTCGCCTAGTCAAAGGTCACACTCGGATGCACACCAAAAAAACACACGATGATCTGGCCTGGCATGTGCGGGGATTAGCGTGGGAATTAGAGATCAAATGTGAGAGTTTGCTATATAAAAGAGTTAAATGAAGCAAATGTATAGCATTTCAGCAGGCGAACATAACAGCGGGGAAGTCCCTCCCTCCCTCACGCACAGCAGCATGAACAGCCTCATATTCCATGAACTTTCCACGCATTTCCCGAAATCACATGCACAATACATGTCGCCCTTCCAGCAGGTCACCCAGCAGCACTCGGAGAGATTTGTGACTGCCTGGAAATGCTGTTGACCTATTCAGATATTCACAACCAAAACAAACAAAAATAGGAAACAAACAAACAAGCATGCTCCATGGGGGTCGTATCGGGGTCACCACTCTCGCTCTCGAGATCACTCTCACTTGTCATTTTACATTTTGGGGGAAAAACTGTAGCATTTAAATAGGAAATCATAAAATGCAGAGCTATGATTTGTCCATTGTAAAACCAAGAAAAACCCCCGAAAATTCCACTAGCAGGTAGCAGAGGCTAGAAAAACCAGCCATGCATTCACTTTCCACACGCACCCTACGCGTTCTCTGCGCCTAGTGAATTTCAATTAGTTAAACAAACAAGTCAGTTGTATTGTTAAACATTTTTTCCTTCCATTTCATTTAAACAAATTCCTGGAAAGTGGAAAGGGCACCCCTCAGCCATCTCTCTCTATGTGTCTTGTGATATACAAACAATGGCCCGAAATCGTGGCGGAACATTTTCCCAGCCAATGCAGCCAGCCGTAGAAAATCTCAGTCTTCCAACGTTGGGGGAGACCTGCTCGAGATCTGTTCGCCTGGTGGCCAGTGTTACACTTGGCTACACTTGTGCATGGGATGCTGCAATGGCGTGACACAGCACAACCCCCAGGTCAACTCCATTTCTAGTCTCTTGGCAACCGAATAGAAGAAAAAGTGAGTAGAAAACGCGATCGCTGATTGCTCCTCGCCTGCTACAAGCGAAGACCTTGGCTCCAAAAACTGGCGCAACACGTTAAAGTTGAGGCCCCAAAGATTTGGAGACGCGTCTTCTGCTGCTTTCTTGTTTTCGCTGCTCACCTATTCGTTTCCAAGACCTTTGACTTTCAGTTTCTTTGACAAACTGCTCCCCAAAGAGATATTGGCAATGCCCCAACCCTATTTCCAATACTTGCATTATTGTCGTCTTCTCCAAAAAAGAAATTAATCATAATTTTGGGAAAAAATACAAAAATGTTCGATATTTAATCACAGGGTCACAGAAATGCCGAAAAGATTGGTATTATGGCTGCATTTCTACACCAAAGTCTTCGGAGAAATCTATATTTGTCCCTCTCTTGCTTGCTCGGCTGTGTCAATGGAAAGTGGAAAGGGCAAAAGACTTGCCTATTCACTCTTGCTTGCCCACTCTCTTAATGGAAAGTGGAAAGGGCTTGCCCATTATTCCCTTTTCTCTCGCACACACTTGGAAAAAGACCCGTTGTTTTGCTCGTGAGCTGCGTGGGTGTTTCGATACACATATATAAATACATTGTATATATAAATATTTTCAAGCGTTTACTAGTGATTTTTCTTGGCTTCTTTTTGAGGAGAAGTATATATGTATGAGTATATGTGACGAAACTCGTAAAAGGCATGCTTATGTTTGCAGATAGGTAATAATGTTCCAAGAGATAAAATTAGTTTGCAGCATCCTCTCTGAACAAATAAAACCTTTGGAAGGATTCTGGAAAACCAAATTGAACCCTTTTTGGAATTCCAGTATCTTGGAAGTGCCGATCCCATAAGGTTTGAATTCTTTAAAATTCAAAACTGCAAACTTCCAGGAGAATCCCAACAGTTTTGAATTTCCAAGTTCAAAACTTAAGCGAGCACTGTGCATCAATCAGACTTTCCGCAGAGGCATTTAGCTTCTCCTGTTCGGCACTCGTTAGTGGGAGCTCGAATACATGGCTTATGCCACCCGATTTGACCAGGCAGGGCAGTGAGAGGACAACGCTGTGCTCTATACCGTGCAGGCCCTGCATATCAGTGCCCACACAGAGGATCTTGCCCTGGTCGCTGGTCAACGCCTCCACGACATCAGTACAAGTGGCGGCAATGGCCCAGTTGGTGTATCCTTTGACCTTGCCCACCGATGCACCCGCTGTGGTGACCTGTTCCTCAAAATTCCACCACTTCTCCGGATCCTCGCCACAAGCCAGTTCCTTGATTACATCCTTGAGCTGAATGCCGCCAATGCAGACGGAGGACCAGACTGGCACCGCACTAACACCATGTTCCCCGATCACATAGGCCTGAACATCCGCCGGTGGGACGTTAAGGCGCTCGGCGATGAAATAACGGAATCGTAACGAGTCCAGGTGACAGCCGGTGGTCAAACAGCGATGCTTGGGCAGTTTTGCCAGACACTGTACTGCAAAGGTCATGACATCGACGGGATTTGATACGATCACAAAGATAGCATTGGGGCTCTGCTTCACCAGTAGTGGTATTGCAGCCTTGAAGATCTCCATGGTCCCGTGCATCGCATCTAGACGAGATCGATTCTTGCCGGAGGGTCGCGCCCCAGCCGTCATGACCACTATGTCCGAGTCCTTGGTGCGTGAGCCATCGGAGCAGGCCACAATTCGAGGATTGCCTAACAGGACAGAACCATGCAACAAGTCCAAAGTCTCCGCCTGGGCCAAGTTGTATTTGACATCCATGATGACCAGATTCTGGGTCACCTTGCGAAGGAGTAGACACGAACAGATAGCCGCGCCCACCTGTCCCGATCCCACCACGCTAATCTTGAGTCCCCTGCCCTTGCTCTTCCACTCCTTCATCGGGTGCATCGATTTGGTGAAATTGGACTTCGTGCGGCTCGGTTGCTGCTGGTATAAATTAAACGTCAGGGATGTCACCTGGCTCTGTAGAATTCGCATCAAGGCCATGTTTCCTTTGTCAAATAAAATGTACACACAATTTTGAACTCCTAAAAAGATATACAAATATATGAAAAAAATTTTGCAAGGCAAGAGTGATAATTAAAATAGCATAGAATATTTGTAAGCGTTGAAATCAAATACGTTTAGGTTCTATTTCATTTTATTAACCGATCTTTTTCGATTTTAAAACATTTTCAAATAATCAAAACATGGAGCATACTTTTGAGCAGAAACATAAATTTCAGTATTTCACACCACTCTTGTTATTAATGAATTTGCTTTATTAATAGGTATTAAATATATAAGAATATTAATTAATTAATATCTTTCAATTCCATTGTATTTGTTCCTTTCTTGATTTCTCAATCAATTAAATTTAATCAGTAAGTAAATATACCTTTACGCGTATATGTAAATTTTAATGTTAGTATTTTGGTATATTTTCGGTTCCTTTTCAGCACTAATTTGGTATTTTAAAAATACTTTTTTACGGTTTTATTAAAGTTCTGGCCCTTGGTCATACTGCCCTAAGCACATTTTTATTTGATTTTCAATTTCTGAGCAGATAACTCTGAATTTTCAAGAACCACGTGTTGTCCTATGCACGCTCGTTTGCCCATTTCCCAGGGAAAATGAGTGCTATTTTAATGGACATATAGAAAAAACCAACGACAACCTTACCAAAGTGACTTGCTGACACCCTAGCTTGGCATTTTCATTAAATTGTCGAACAGTTATACGATTTTATGTACTTTTCGAATGAATCTTAAGCGTTTCAAACATTAAACTGTGACAAGATGACACACAAGGTTTCAGTTATGCACGAAACGCCAGATAAATTTATTGGCAGTATTTAATAATGTGTTGGTTACCAATCTTCGGATCTGACCTATGCATTTTGAGGTACTAGCACAGCTCTAAAGAGGTTAACCTGTTGTTAGCCATTTGATTATGTATCCTATTTTTAATATTTTTTATAACAAAATCAGCTCCATTTTGGTTTATAGGTTGAGCGGGAATTGCGAGAGTTTATAAAATCTAAAAAAATCTATAGATTTAGGTTAGAATTTGGGTAATAGGGGTTTTAACTCCATTATTTCTACACATCTGTTGAACTCATCTCAAGTTTTTATAGTTTAAGACCTACATTCAGCCTTTTTCAATCAAACAATTAAATATATCTATAATAAATCATTAAAAACAGATCCTAAAATCGTTTAATATTTTTGTATTTTTAAAACAACCCATATTGTAAATATCAGCCTCTGCAATCTTCTAGAGAAACAGTCTGAAATATAATTTTTAAGCCCATTATCAGGTTTTATTTTCTTGGAAATATTCTTAAAGCTCTTATAGTTATACATTCAGTCTATTTAAGTGTCTGGGCCGCCTCCAATATCTTGGTCATCTCCTCGCTCTGGGACAGTGCTTTGTGTACTGCCATCAGCACCTGGGACTCCATCTCCTGGGTCTGCTCTTGGCTCAACGCCAGCGTGCTCACCTTTTTGGCCAACGCCGCCAGCTTGGGCTGGCGCTGCAGGAAGCGATCCACAATCACGGGCGAGATGTTGGCCAACTTGGCGAACTGCATGATGTGCGGCGACAGGTTGCTCGGTATATCGATTGTGATATCCTCCAGCTCCTTGGCGGTCAACTCCTGCTCCTTGGGTGTGTTCAAATGGGGCTTAGGAGCTGCTGTGGTACTGGGTACCTCGGTTGGCCTCTCGACGCGCAGCGGCGGTGGCGACGGTGTCACAGGTCGGAAGGGTACGGGATAGTGGTACGGCACTGGTTGCCTCACCAGGACAGGCCTTCTGTTGGGCACGGCCATAGGTGGAGGACGAACCACAAAAACTGGCTGGAAGGAGACTGGTCGGGGAGGGGAAGGAGGAGGAGTAGCTTCCATCGGCGCTGGTGTAGGGGTACGACTGGTCCACTGCTTCAGGAAGGTGCTAAAACGCTGCATCATACTTTCCTGCGGCTCAGGAGCTTTTGTGGGACTAACATTCTCCCTGGTCTGATCCTCATCAAAGCTGTTGTCCATTGTGTTATCATCATCATTGTCACTGTCGTCGTCTTGCTTCTCTGCCATTTCCGCTTCCGCCTCAGCCTCTTCCTCCTCTTCCGCCTCATGCTCCTCCTCGAAATGGAGCGTGTCCATATACTGCTTCATCAGAGCAATGTCAGCATCGCTGCCCGTCCGTTTGCGCAGATACTCGATGGTTTCTATGGGATCTCCCGTGCCTATCAATTCGCCCAGATCCTCGATTCTCGGCAGCTTCTTCAGGCCCAGTTTTTTGTAGGCGATGTCCAGAATATCACTAGGATAACCCGAGCTGGGAGCAGGCGTTGTGGTGGTAGTCGTCGTCGTGGGAGGGACTATACCCGGCTTGATTAGTTTGTAGACCGGCAAACCAAAGTAGTAGGCATTATCCCGGCCATATATAAGCGGTCTCGGAGCCACTACCGATGCCTGGATGCAGTGCAGCAGGGCCAGTGGCCACAGAAGGCGTAACAGAAAACAGTTCATTCCGTTCACTTTGAATGCTAAAGGACAACTAACGCTTAAGAATTGAAGAACCTTTCCAAATATATTTTCAACTCTAGTTTTATGCCCAACCCAAAATACATTTTCCCTGAATTCACGGTTTACTACCTGCTGATCCATAGAAAATCTCACATTTCCATTGAATTTTCCACCTTGTGCGACGAGCAGGAATGCTTTTTCCTTTTCCTACCTGGTTTTGTGGACAAAAGAAATGGGATTTCAAGAGGATTTCAGGTTTCGGGTTTCTGATGTCCCACTCACCGTGGAAAATCAAAGAAAACCGAGGCAAGGCGGGCTTAGCGGGAAAACAACGAAAATCTCACCGTATTTCAACAAACTAACACATGTTTTATTATCGTAATTTAAACCTTAAAATGGAACACTTGATGGCCACGTGTGTGGTAGAAATTGTGGCCATCAAATCCAGTCACAGATCTCTTAGAAACTAGGAGGAATTCTAAATTCGCCAGCTCTGCCCAAAGGTTGCGTTCCCTTAATTGGGATTTTTGTATTTACACGGGTTTAAAGTACATGAATTTTGCCGGGGAAAACAAATTGCAAACATTTGAGGGCGACGCCATGTAAAAAAAAGCGAACGGAAGGGAGGTGGTTCGTTTTTAGGGATACGGGGAATTTCGCTGGCCGCTGGGCAGGAGCAGTCGCCTGGGTCTATAATCACTTGGAGACACCCACCAAGGCGGGACGTATGCAGCGTTCGTGGAGCTTGTAGCCCAGCTTGGTGACCTCCACCACGGTATTGGCATCGACGGTCTTGTCCTCCTTCTGGAACAGAGCCTCGTGCATATTGGGGTCGAATTTCTGGTTGATGGGGTCCACAGGCTCCAGGCCGTGGCGCTTGAACACCTGCAGTAGGGAGGCACGCGTCATGCTGAGACCCTCGTACAGGTTCTTCAAGTCCGCGTTACCGCTTAGCTGCAAATAATGTTTTAAATCAATAAAGTTGTTTATAAATTGCCATGAAATTAAATAAAGGAGCACTAAAAATAACTAAGCAAACATAATCGAATTTGCCTTAATTCTGCTCTCAATTCCCACCTTATCCTTGGGCACAGCTTGCGTGGCATGGCCCAGGGTGTCTGCCACCTCAAGCAGGTCCTTACAGAAGCTCTGGATGCCAAAGATCTTGGCGTCGCTGATCTGCTTATTCAGCCGATTGCGCATGTTTTCGCTGTCGGCCAGCGCCCGCTTATACTTGTCCAGCAGCTCCGCATTCTGCTCCTTGGCGGCAGCCAGATCCTTGCCCAGTTTCTCCAGTTCTGGCGACGTTGTCGCTGCCTTCTGCTCTGCCCCTGCGGCTGCTGCCTCCTCCGGCTGCTTTTCCGTGCTATACAGGCGCTGGTCGCGCAGGCGAAGGCGCTGAGGGGCACTGTGAAACACAAAAAAACTCATAATCAAATCAAGTAATCATAATTACGTGCGTCCGCCGGACAAACGTGCGTTCATTACGTCACAAAAAAGAGGAAGCGGAGCAGAGAGAGGGGCTTACCTCAGGCTAAGCGCCGTGGCCGGTGTGTTTCGTTGGGCGAGGCGCCGGGCAACCAGCTGCAGCAATGCTCCCTTCGCTGACATTGTGAGGAGGAGTCGCTTTTATTTTGTAAAATAAACTTATTTAGCTTTTGCTTTCGAAATTGAATCCGGCCTGCTTATCAGTGTGCCCGTGCCGATTCCGATAAAATATACCAGCAAACCAATGAATAAATACCTTCAAATACCATGTCAAGAAAAAGGATGAGAACTTCGCTTAACGAAAACGTAATCAAACAACGTAAGTGGCCATGAACGTAATCTTATGCCGGAAACTGAAAAAAACGTAATCTGCAGACGTAAAGGGAAATTTAAAGATTGTATTAAGACATTTCTATATTATACAGAAATTAAAAATATTTATTATAGTTAACATAAATTTAATTTGTTTATTTCAATGTTTTTACTGAGCTAACTTCGGGAAAACCGAACTATTTTAGTTCTTACATTGACTTCATATTTTAAAACTTTTCTAAGAAAGGAGTTTAAAAGCATATAAGAACACAAAGTTATGTAACTAAAAGCAGAAACATTGTATACTTTTTGGCGGCATTTGGAAATATATTTATGTTTTCTACAACAATAAAAAAGATACTATCTTTTAGATTCTTCATAGTAACGATAAAACCTAAAGTACCAGCAAGGCGCTATCTATAACATAGATTTAACATATACACGCAGAATTGAAAATCAAATCGTTAAAAGCTATATTCCGATCAGAAGATATAAAATAAATTGTGCATTTTGGACTTTTGATAAATCAGTTTATTGAAAAGCAAAGGGGAAAAGTTCAAAATAAACTGTTCCCAAATAGAATAATTTAATTCTGTGTATGAAAATCACCTGACTGACTATAAATTATTTTTTTTAGAATATTATTTATCACAACAAATTAATATATAATCAATGTTGCATTCTACATTTTAAATCACTACGATACGAAACGCTTTTGCTTATAACATCATTACAGACCTTTCCTTAATTTTGCATGTTTTATAATCTCTAGATTTCTTAATTCGGTTTCAGAATCTGTTTAAGTTATAGTACCTATTCTATAATATTTTGTATTTTGTACAACTCTTCAAATATGGGCTCTGCCTCCCTTACAAGACGATTTTTGTCAGTGGAGTATTACTCAAAACACTGAAAGTTTCAAAATATACATATATTTATTAAAAAAGTTTTAATTAAATTTGCGATTAGATACATCTAAAACAAGTTTTAAATAAAAATGTCTACAGACTAAATTATATATTTAATTATTTGTTTCCAGTACTTAATTATATATTTAATTACTAGATCGGTTTCCCAAAGTTTCTTGTCCTTCTTGTTTTAATATTTCATATTTAATATGTTTTATTTATGAATCTATTTGAAATAATTTGAAACATTAAATTGTTTATTTAAATTCTCTTTCCACTTTCATTTCTCGCTGTGTACCCTCATGCTGGCCCTCACACACACAATGACGCAAAGACAGAGAGCAGAGCAGCGGCGTGCCTCTTCGTGGGTGGCCCTTAATTCGTCGTCATCTGCTTGGGTGGTCTCTACTAGCCGTCCTGCTCGCTCTCTCTCCATGGAGGTGCCCTGCCCTGCCCCCATTGATCATTCCCTCCTTTGATAGTGCGTGACGACGCCTGAGGGAGGATGCCAGAGGGAGAGGGAGCCGTCCATCCCGCTCGCACTAATTTATGCCGCCCGAATGGTGGGGCGCCCATTTTTTTTTGTATCCTTTGCCTGCCCTTCGTCTTTGCTAGCTCTCATTTATTCGAGCATAAAATTAGCAATTATTTGTTTTCCCCATTCGCCCTCTGTATGAGTGTGTGTGGTCCATGGGTTCGTGGAGCATTATGTTTTTTTTTTGTACTTTCGACATTTGGGGGTTTTCTAGGAATCCGAGGAATCGCGAAAAAAGCGAAGTTTGCCTTTATTATTATTATATTTTTTTCTGAGGAAAGGGAAATTAAATTTTTATTTCGGGAGATTTCATGATCTGAATAATAGGGAACTTTTTCTATATAGAGTCACGAAAATATTGATCATAAAAGCTTTCCGATTGGAATTTAATGAATTTTTTAATGAGTTATGATAGATTTTCACTGCAAGATAAGGTTTTTTCTTTCTTGTTTTTAAATTATATTTGATTAATTTATTTTAATAGTATCCTAAAGCGTCAAGGGTGACATATTTATTTTACTTGTTACATTGTTAATATATAGAATAAATATTTGTACTTAATGAAACCATTGTAATCATTATTTCTTATTTATATTTTTTTATTATCTTACTATTTTTATCTTATACTAATAGAATAATAAATAATAGTTCGAAATATCTACGACTTAAAATGTTTAAAAGCTTGACATATCTTGTAAAGAAGTTTTGAGACCAATAAACTTCACAATGGTTTTATTATTAAGCTTCAAAAGATTTAGTTCAAATTTCTAATTTAACATAAAAAACTAGATTTTTCCTATCTTAGACTCCTTCCGTTAAATCTCAAAGTCCTCTTAGGTTTCTCACTCAACGTAATTGGCCAAGACAACCTAGATATGGCCCCCTGGCATTGATAAAGTTATGACAAGCAACGGCAGCAACATCAAATGTTTGTTGGCAACAATTATTGTGTTGTTGACGGCCAGATACATTGATAGCAATCATTTGCATCCGAACAACCAACGGCAATTGTTGGCTAAAGATAACGAAAACAACAGCCAACAGAAGGGGAGCAACTGCACATGCAACACATGCAACATATGCAACAGCGGCAACATGTTACTTTTGACAATATAACGCAACGGCGTGGCGACAAGCAACTGGGTGCATCTCCGATCAGAGACATATATGCACATATATACACTATATAAGTATGTAAGTGTATCCCCCAGACATCCGCGGCATTCGGACTTCATGGTGGTCCCCAGCATCGCCATCCCCATCCCCATCCCCACATCCCGGGCTTAGTTGCCGCTGTCAATCTTTGGCAAAAGGCAAATGCTGCTACTGTTTGCCGCAGTTGCAATCCCCCCGGACTCCTACTCCGCCTTCGTCTCCAACTTCAACTCCAACTCCAACTCCAGGTCCGAGTCCGACACAGACGCAGTCTTATAATTGCATATAGCGCCAGTTGAAGTTCCGGTCGGTTGGGTTTTTGTTGTTGTTTTTGCCTGTTGCACGCGCTTTCTTTTTTGTGCGGCGCCGCCGACAGACGGGGATGCACTGCAAAAATAATAGTACTACAATCCAAAATGCTAAAGAAATCACAGTGTTTTAAAGATATATTTTAAATGTTTTTAAAAGTATAATATAGCGATTTAAACTTAATAAAGAACTTGCACTACATCTTAATTTCCTATTTTTCAAAGGATTTGAAAATTAAATACATGGATTTTGGTGATTTAAATGATGTAAATTTTTGCAAAGTTTTTGGTAAAAAT